GAACATTACATTTTTACTGCTAAAAACACAATATGATTCATTTTATAATTGACAGGACCCTTTTTTTATTTTATGTCTATGAACAAAATATAAATAATTAAATTGTGGAGGGCCCCCTGCTGGTCAGGGCCCCTAGAATTGTCATCACTTTTGCCCCATATACCATCCATTCATCCATTCTTTGGTTTCCGTTGCGTAGCGCTCTCACCAGCAGGGAGGTTTAAAGGTTTTTCTCTTTTCTTTGTTTCTCATGAATGTTTGTTTGGTCAGAAACATTCGGGGGAAACAGAGGAAATGTGTGAATACAGACTGTAGCTGTGGGAAGTGTCTGTGCTCCACTTAGCTCAGACACTGAGGAGAAACGCTGATAAATTCTTGTTTTGGTCAGTTTGATGCTGATGTCAGCAGCTCAGAGCTGTGAGGGTTTAAAGCTGCAGCTGGTTTCCACCCTGAACGTTTAGAAAAGAAAGAAAGCTGTTTTCATTTCATCCTTTTGGATAATCAGCAGCAGATTTTGACTCCAGCTGTCAGGAGATCTGGATGCTCTGCGGCTCAGAGCTCCACTCTGAACACAGATGTCTCACTCTGATGGGGAATCTGTGCACCAGCTCTCTGTCAGCCTGGAACCGGCTATCTAAAGACACTTCCAGCCACCTGAGAGTTGATGTCAGCAGCAGTTGCTGAACTGAACTTGCTTCAGACACAGAGAGCTTCTGCCTCCATCTGGATTCATTTTCTCAGCTGCTGTGGAGCCGAATACCAGCCGAAGCTGCAGGACGGATCCGACCCGATGCTGCCGCGGGTCAGGAAGGACGAACACGGAGGATCAAACGCGGTTCTGATCGGACCGACGCAGAGAGACGAGCTTCAATGGAGCCCAGCGCAGGAGAAGAGGCTCCCCATTTGACCTGCAGTTGACCTTCTGTCTGGTTTAACTGGTGGGACTCATTTTCAGTCCTGGAGTTTCAAACCAGCCCAGTGTCCCAGAGGTCCCAGTTAGTCTGGGCCCTTTTTAACTGCATCTGGTTTAAATGAACTGGTTTAATTGAATTGGTTTCACTGGTGCTGTCTGCAGTGGGAGAACGAGCAGCTGCACAGCCTGGAGGAGCGAGGTCGTCTGCTGCTCTCGCTGCAGTTCCTGCCCTCCGCCTGTCTGGATGGCGCTGATGGAGGTGAAGGGCGGCTCTGCGGCGCCCTCTGTGTCGGTGTGAGGCGCTGCGCTCACCTGGCGGCCATGGACGTCAACGGATTCTCTGACCCCTACGTCAAAATGTGAGTGGGCGGGGTTTCCCCGGTGGAGGCAAAGGGTGGAGGTCATCTGGACCCCGTATGCACCATAGACACAAATACATGGAGCGGGTCAGAGGTCATGGAGCGGGTCGGCCCGTTGCTGCAATACGTCACAGCGTTCGCCATATTG